GCACTGCTGAGCTATATCCCTAGCCCTCTATTCCAATCTTGTAGCAACTGGGACAAAGGAATCTCTTAGCTCAGGCTTCCTGGGTCAGCCCATCTCCTACAGGGAGAGATAAGACAATGTCAGGGCCAAAGTTAGCAGGGAATGGGATGCTTTCATGAGAGGTGTCTGCTGTTCTACAAAGAAAGTTTTTTAATATCTACACAGCTACTAACATCAATGCAAAGATTTAGATTTTTATTTTGACCACTTATACTTTCATCAGAAGGCAGGACAAATATAAGGAATACTCCTGGTATTCTGTGACACTTGCTTGGAAAGCAGAGGACACAGGGAACTATCAGTGTTTGAATATTTAACTAAGCGATTGAGGCTGTACATAGGTCACCTGCACACAGGAACACTAAAATTGGGTTAGATCTTGTGGAAATTATTGGACATTTTAAGAAGAGCATTGAAGAGTTTATCACAGGAAGTAGTGATCATTTTAGACTTTTACACAGCTGTTTTTATCCAGAATTACACATTCGTGGGAGGGGTAGGGTAAGTCATGAGGTAATTCTAGTACCTTATGTCTGTGACTTTGTCCATGGCTCTGGGGACATGGGTGAATGACACCGAGCAGTCATGAAGTGTGGTGAACCTCCGGGACCAACATCTGCGCCCCTGTTCCCTGTCAGAGTCAGCACTTCAATCATAGAAATTTTCTTCAAAGTAATTTGTAGCGGGTATTGTTAGAATCACATCCATAGCACCTGTTGGTAAATCATACCAAGCGGTGGTAGTTGTCTTGGGAAGTGGCTCATCAGAGGGCTCTGGGATGCGGATTTTCCTAGCCGAAATGCAGCAGATGCGATGATTTGTACAAACTTCTTTCACTGCTTCTCCCTCTTTGCACTGTTTCCTGCAGGTCCCCAATTTATTCTGGCATTTTTTCTCACCACTGTAGGCTAAACAATCAAAGGAAAGACACTGATTTTAGGCTGCTGATATTTTCCATTTTAGTAGTGTAACTGTATATCAGAAGAACATTATAGGGAATAATTAGACTGTGGTCACAAGACTCTCAGCTCACAAGTGAGTTGTAGCTTATCATCAATGAAAAGAAACTGGCTAGTTATATGAAATTGCAGCCAGTTGTAATGAAGCTATCTGGGCCTGTGTCAAGGTATCCACATCAAAAAGTTCAGCTGGTAACTGTGACTGAGTTATTTGCATTGGTTAAATCAATTTGAATACATGCTACTGCACATTATGCCTGAGCATATAAAATATGCCTGTGTAAAGCCTAATAATCCAATGAAATAAATACCCATGTACCTGCACCCTGATTCAGGACTAGATCATTACTAGGAACTTATAATTGAGTATTTCAATGGGACAGATTTAATTTGGGGATTAGGTCAGTGATTTTTAAACCCTGATATGCATATGAATCCCATAGAGGCCTTGCTAAATGTGATTTGATCGGTGGGGCAGGGCCTGAGTTTATACATTCTTAACAAAGTTCTAGGTGGTGCCAATATTGCTAGTCCATAGACTATACTTTCTGCAGCAAGGCTTGAGGGCATTAAAAACTCAGTAAGTTCCATGTACTCAATATCATACAGTCTATGATTTCTAGCCAAATACAATAAAATTAGAAAGAAAAATCCTTTATATTTGGAAATTAGACCATGTGGTGAAGAATAAAACTTAGATCAGTGTAGTAAAAAGTCAGAAATAATAAATTAGAAGTAGTAAAATCAGAAACTTGTGGATAGCCGATCAAGGAAAAGAGGATGATAACAAAGTCAACCATATGAAATACTGAAATAAAAAGATACAGTATATTAAGAACAACAGAATAGAATTATCAAAAATTGTATGTTAATAAAATTGAAAACTAAATGAAATGGCTAAATTCCTAAAAAAATTTCAGGGATGGCATTGGAAAAACCCCCACTGAATTATTAAGTGTTAAGAAATTCAAATAGCAGTATAAGACCCTCCTTCCTAAAAGCCTTGGCCCTGGATCATTTTTCTTATTTTTCTTTCAAATTGTAGTAAAATATACACAACATAAAATTTACCATCTTAGCCATTTTTAAACATGGAGTTCAGTGGCATTAAGTGCATTCATTTGTGCTAATAATATCACTGTTGATTCTCAAAACTGTTTTTATTTTGCAAAGCTGCCACTGACTACCTGTTAAACAGTAAGCCTCGATTTCTCCCACTTCTCAGTCCTACTTTCTGTCTCTATAAATCTGATTACTCTTAATTTCTCATACAATTAGAATATTTTTCCTTTGGGTCTTAGTATAAAGTCTTCATGATTAATTTATATTATCATGTGTCAGAATTTCCTTCCCTTTTAAAGCTGAATAATGTTCCACTGCATGTATATGCCACATTTAATTCATTCATTAATCTGATGAGGGTGTTTCGGTTGTTTTCACCTTTTAGCTCTTGTGAATAACACTGCTATTTTAGATGATTTTAAAGATGAATTAGTTCCATGAATTTCACAGATGACCAAAGTACTATTTTGTATGAAATGTTTTAGAAAATGGGGTGGGGGTGGAGGGGAGGAAGCCTGTTTGGATTATTTTATGAGGCTACCATAGTTTTGGTTCTAAAGTCAGAAAGTTTATAAATACAGAAGAAAAAATACCCCAAATTAAGTATTATCTAACTGAATTCAGCAGTATATTAACATATATCATGATCAAGTAAAGTTTAACCCTAAATGTAAAGTATCATCCAACATTCAAAATGTATCAATGAAATTCACCACTTTTATTCTTATTTTATTTTTTTTTGGTACTGGGGGTCAAACTCAGGACCTTACGCTTGCCAGGCAGGCGCTTGTGCCACTGAGCTACATCCCCGGCCCTCACCACTTTAATTAAATGAAGGAGATAAGTAACATAATTATAGTGATGCACAAAAATGATTTCATAAAATTTATTGTTTGTTTATGATGAGAACATCAGACCCAGTAAGGCTAGTGGGGATTTTCCTTAGGTTGATGAAGGTTGTGTATCAAAGTCTAGTGCAAACATTATCTGACAGAGTAACTTCAGTTCTCCCTGATATTAGGAAAACAAAAATACTTTCCATTTTCATTATTGTCTAAATAATAGTAGCAAACCTGGTGAGTGTTAAAAGGAAAACAAAATAAAACAACAAAATTATAAGGATTGGAGAGAATGAGACAAAATTGTCATTTATCCCAGCAGTCATGATTACAAGAAGGAAGAAATAAACTATTATAATTAATAAGACTAAGTAGTTGTGTCAAGTCTTAATTTATAAGAATCAACTATACTTCTCTAAATCAACAGCAGCAAAGTAGAACATGCAATGAAATATAGAGCATAGCTGTGGAGTATTTTGCTTTAAACTAAGATTACTCAGGACATCTATAGAGTACATGTTAAAACTGTAAAAGAAGATGTGATCTTGGATGGGATGATTTAAGTATTATAAAGATTCACTTTTTTCTAAAATAATCCATAAATGTAATGAGGTACTAATTGATATCCCAGGGGTAGTTTTGGGAAATGTGAATATTTTACTTTAAAATTTAAAAATTTATTTTTAAGGTGCCTTGTTAGCATAGTAGGTCAGTCTCATAATTTTTATTTTATTAAATATATTAAGGAGTTTCATTTGAAGTAGTTCATAAATTCATATGACATACTTTGACATTTATAAAGAAGAATAAAGGCCATTGATAACAAAGAATGCTTTGTAAAAAGACAAAAAATGTGTCCTTCTGCACTAACATACTATAAAGCTATGTAATTAGAGAAATATGATATTGTCACAAGAATAAATAGAAAAGAGAACACACTAGAGAGTTCAGATCATGCAGAGTGATAAGGACACTGCATATCCACAAAGAACCGTAGATTACTTAGTATGTCTTGCTGGGAAAATTGGCTCACTCCATAAGAAAAATCAAAGTGGATCTATGCATTCCATCCAGTGACTTAAAAACCTGTATATGAAAAGCTAAGTTAAAAAGTTATTAGAAGATAATTATAAGAATTGATAATAATAAGGATAATAGTAAGGATTGATAATAATGATTGCTCTGAGACATAAGAAGAGGAAAGGATTTCTTTAACAAAAGCACCAAGCACAATGCACAAGGCAAGACATGGTTGAATCTAATTAGGTCAGAATGAAGTATTTCTCATTCATGAAGAACAACATATTGTGGGCAAGGTCCATGGACAAATGGATGGCAGATTGGGGGTTAAAGCCAGTGACAAAGACTGACTATGAAATAAGATCAAGTAGATAACAAGTAGATAACTCTACAGAGTATTAATGCACAGCTGCCCAGTGGAACCATGGTCAAGGGATGCAAACAGTCGATAGAAATAGCAATAGTCACTGCTGTTGAAATGTTTTTCATATTTGTTGAAACAGTCAACAGTTTTGTTGAATACCTACAGTATGCCAGGCACCGTTCAAGATGCAAGAGGTTATATCCATTTAAAAAATAGACCAAACTTTCTGCTTTCATGGATAGTTCAGTCTTTTCAGGAGACAATAAATAAGACAGCAAATAAGAGAAAAAAGTGAAACATTATGTTTGATATAGTTATATATGGATAAGCATTACAGAGAGAAATGAAGCAAGTAGGGGATACAAATATGTGACTGGAAGACTTAGAGAGGATGTTAGGAAGTAAGCTAGGAGACTCACTGGGGAATAGTGACCAGGCAGAGAAGTAACAAGTGCAAAGGCCCAGCGGCAGGGTCTACCTTAGAGTTTTTCAAAAACGATAAGGTGGCTATTGTGAGTGTAGAATATGCCAGGTGGAGAGTAATAGGAAAAAGACATAATGGGGATTGGCATCACCTGGGTCTCAAGGTCATTGAAAGGAAGCCATTCACACATTTCGATCATAAGATAGGAGAAATGCAGATTGAAACAAAGGTTTGACATAATTCTATACCCATCAGACTGGTAAAAATAATGCTCAGTGTCGGAGGGATTGTGGTGATTAGAAGAACCCTGTGCTCTGTTGGTGAGAGTGTGTAGACAGCTTCTTGTCTTTATAGATGCCATTGATTTTTATTCTTCTTCCTTACATGTAGGCACTCTCCAAAATAAAGGAAGAAGATTTTATACTTCTTTTATCATCCCAACTCTTCTTTCTAAAAGAGTGGCTTTAACTGTGTATCTTACTGGAACACTCACACTGAAGACCCTACTGTTTTCTTCACCCCTGTATGCTCTGAGTTTCCATGACCCGTGGCTGCTTTTACAAAATCCTTTCCATGTGTCTCTTTCCTATTCTCAATATTCCCACCAGAATTCAAAGCACCCACAACAGGTCCCACATAGGTCACACTTTCTGCCTTTGATTGCATCTTTAACTGCAACTGGAGAATGACAATGGTGCCTTGGTTCACGAACTTAATTTGTTCTACAATTTTGGAAAAGAAGGCCACGTTTGTGTTCGTGTGAGAAAGATGGGTGCAGTTGTATTTGTCACCCAAAGCAGAGTCTGCAAACAGTAAAATTTTGCCAAATGTTTCTGTTTGAGAGCCAAATTGTTTGCAAGTGAAAACATTTGTAGGGGGCCGGGGATATAGCTCAGAGGCACAAGCACCTGTTTGGCAAGCACAAGGTCCTAAGTTTGATTCCTGGTACCCCCCACCCAAAAAAAAATTGTGAACCAAGGCACCGGTGTACTTAAGATTCTGAAAGTCAGCAATTTCTGCTGGCAGTACCTTGAGAACTATACAAGGGAAGAATTAATGGAATAAAATTTAAAAGCTTACCTTATGCTGACCATTTGACTTCTAGGAATCTATTCTATATAAATCCTTGTCTGAATACAGAAATATATTTGTACAAGAATGTTCATCAATGTGTTGTTAGGAAATGTTTCAATGACTATACATAAGAAGAATGTAGCATTACCATGTACATAGTGTGTTAACTCTTCTGTGAAACAAATATTTAGATTCATTTCCATATGAGTTGGATTGTATGCTGGAATTTTCCTTGAAAGATATACAAGAAAGGGAAAAAAGGCCTATTCAGCAGCAATTTCAATGTGCCAGTCATTACTTTCCTTTAGTTTAAAGTGGTAGAATTCTAGATCTTAGATTTTCACTGTAGAAGGGAGAAGAAAAGTCAGTTCTATCTTCTACATAACAGCTCTGGAGTTATTTTTTTTTTACCTGTTCACCAAATTTCAGAGCATGAGGAAACTAAAAGGATTTCATTCGAAAGTATAGAAGGACTTTTAGGACAAGAAAATGGGGAAGTGTGCTTTGAGAATAGTTTTCAAGAACTAGGACAAGCTGCAAAGACAACTGCAGTGAGTAAAGCTCTCCTGTGATGCCTTAGGTGGTAACTTGCAACACAACTCAGGGTGTTGAGTCACTCCCGTCTGTTGAGGGTTGCTTGTGCTACCCTAGGCTCTATCCCTGCCAAGTACATAGTTTTTTTTTTTTTTTTTAATTTTATGGAAAAATGGTGAAACACAATTTCATAACAAAATAATAGGGAAATAACAACAGTTAGTACATTACATGCTATTATCTTTAAAGTAGTTACTCAGGATACAGAATATGGGCATAAAAATTTCTCCAATTGATATTAACACAAGCCTTCCTTTTTAATAAACTAAGAGACACTAATAGTACAACTGACGTGCATTTTTCCCTTTTCCCTACTGGAGGACATAGGAACTGAGTGCAGCTGTTTGGGTATGGGAGTCCAGCTGCACACTGGAATTCCCACCGGCCAGAACCCATTACACCTTTACTTTTGTAGCTTCCTTGGGTTATGATTACCTGGGATCATTTGGAGTAGGAATGCAAAGACAAAAAGAACCACCAGCAGATGCCTCATGGTCCTTTGGAAGTCAGAGGCAGGAGACTGAGGAGTCCAGAACACTGTGTGAAGCTTGAATCTGGCCAAGAGTTTTATTGGCCTCTCTGCAGTGGGGGCGGAGGGATGGGCTTGTAACCAGACAGGCTGTAATAATATATCCGTGTGAAACAGTCTGTTGGCTGGTGCACCTGGAGGGCGCCTGGTACAGACACTGGGGGAACATGTAGAGGGTTTAAATCAGGTTTTGAGGAAGAGTTTGGAGACATGGAGAAGAACTCACATAATCAGAAATCTTCTCCGGCTTCCCCAGACCTCTAGTTAGGGTCCAGCCTTGGCTCACAGTCCCTCTTACTCTGGCAGAAGACTGCTTCTGAGCTAGTTAATTATGTACATCTCCACTGGGCTGCGAGGCTCCTAAGAGTAGGGATGAAATCTCTCATTTTTGAACACCCAAGTCACAAAGCACATTCACAGTGAAGGTTTGTAGCAATAAAATGTAATGAACACATGACCATATATAGGCCAGATCTTTCATATGTGTTCCCACAGTTAAAGTGACTTGCCTCATAAATAGAATTGACTTGCTGTGGAGTGTGAGGAAGATCATTCATAGTATGATTCAAATGGGATGCAATAAGATGCTACCCAATGTCATCAAGAAATGCTTCTTACCAAAGGCAGCTCTACAGTAACCTTGAGGAGGACACCACTGGGGCCATTGGAAGTCCGAGTGCTCTCTGCGACTACCCCAGTGTTCAGATCAGCCTCAGGGAGGAAGAATGCTAATGTGACCTTCAGTACCAGCCTCCTGTTCCCACCTTGTTTTAGTCACCTTTGCACACTTATTTTAACTTTTGCTTCCTCTTTTACACTTGGTTTTAAAGCTTCCCATAAACTGTCAAGGAGTTTGCTGATTTTCCTTTTCTGGAACTGATGGTCTTTCTTGGAGGACTCAGGAGGGATGTCTTGCAGATGAAAAAACTTCTCTTCTGGATGGCACCACGCAAAGTGTCTAGAATGGTGATGGCCTTTTTCCATATTATTTTTAGATGAATGTGTTCTAACATGTTAATAGCTGAACTTCCTTACCATGGAAAGGCTGCTCAGACTGGTAAAGGGTCTTTTATAGCCTTTTTTTCAAGCTGCAGCTAAACAATGAAATAGGAGAGAATTTTACAGAGGATACAGAATGTTTTTCCTGGTTCCTTCCAAGCATAAAAATCTATGTTCTTAAATTTTTGAATGTTCTATACATGTTGTGATGATGAGAGAGATCTCTGACCCTTTCTAAGCTGTTAGAGAAAATCCTCTATTTGGAGGTAGTCATGCTGTGGAAAAGCAGAAAAATCTGGATTACTCCCCCTTGAATTCCCACTGCTCACCCCACTCTAACGTGGTGATGGTGGTAGGGTGGTAGGAAAGCAGAAAGAAAGACAGTTGGGAAAAAGTAAATGAACAAACAAATGGTGTCTTGAAGGGGAAAAGCCACGGTCATAGAAATACAGTAACAGACTTCTGAGATAGATACAAGCATTTAGATACATTTTTTTTATAATTTTCTTTTCTTTTTTTGAGACAGGGTCCCTCTATGTAGTCCAGGCTGGCCTTGAACTCACAGTAATTCTCCTACGTCAGCTGCCTGAGTGCTGTAATTACAGGCACACACCACCACGCCCAGCTAGAATACATATTTCTTCTTTTTTTTTTTGTACCAGGAATTGAATTCAGGATCTTCCACTTACCAGGTGGGCTCTGCACCGCTGAGCTATATCCCCAGCCCCTACATATTTCTTCTTAAGTGAGTTTTCATAGTTTTTGTCTTCAAAGACAATTTCTCATTTCATCTCAGTTATAAAATTTATCACTACAAAAGTGTTCATAATATGTTCCCTCATAATTTTTGAAATACTTTTTAAATTAATGGAGTTTATTTTTGAAAAGTAGTAGGTTTACAGGAAAATTGAATAAAAAGTACAGAATCCCATGCAGTTCCACCCAATTTTTTTTAATGTGGTACATTTGCATTATTGTGGTACATTTGCTATAGTCAATAAACCAGTATTAATACATTATTATTAACTGAATCCTAAAGTTTACATTAAGGTTCATGTTCAGTGTTGTACATTCTATAGACTTTGACCAATGTATAAGGTGACACACACTGATCAGTAGAGTATTATACAGAAGAGTTCCACTGCCCTACAGATCCTCTGGCCTCACTTAATTTTCAACTACATTATACTGGTAAAGACAGTTTAAAATCCATTTGGGATAGAGATAGGAGACATTTAGCCTTGCACTTTACTGAAAAATAAAAGAATATTTGTAGTAAAGCTTATATATATTATGTGAGAATATATGACAGAATGGCTTTGTTTGGATCCAGTACCTTGTTACTTAAAGTATGTTTCAGGGCTCAGAAACATTGATACTAGTTAATGCCTGGGAGATTGAAAATTACAGCATTGGGAGTCTCATCATAGGCCTTCTAAATAAAAACTCCTATTAATAATATTTTTAATCTATATCAATGTCACCTTTCTAATCCCTTCATTGGTAATTTGCGTCTCTTGGCCCCCAGGCCTTTGTGATATTGCATTACTGTGGCAATTTGATCATGAATTCAGTGGACTGTGGAGAATATAACAGTTGTGCAGGCTTGGTTGGGTTTTCCATTACAAATGTTTTCTTCTAGACATGGTCCCTCCTTATAGGTACTTAGCTGGTCATTTACCTACCATCTCTCAACTTCCTCTTGCTATATTCTGCTTTGTGATGCTGGGGCTGGGCTCTACAGACATTCCACCAGTACCTTTGCCACTGTTTAAAAAAGTCTGTGAATAAGAGGTAGATTGGAAGGCACAGAGAGAGAAAGAACTGACTTTCTTTCTATGTCTTGCTGTGTTTCATCACTCCAGTAGTGGCACTCTGTCTAAGGAGGGCTTTTTGCTCCTAACAGTAGCAAAATGTTTCAGTCTCCAGATTTTCTTTTGTAAGCACCCACAAGAACTTTCATCTTTTTGTTTATTTATAAGAACTTCTAACATGCAAGGGTCACTTTTTGTCTGAGATATGAAGCCTACCATTGTGTCTCTCTCCTCTCAGGTACTAGGCTGTAGTGACTTCAAACTCCTCCCCACAACTCTAGAAGTGGTAGTTACTTTTGCTTCCTGCAGTTAGTGTCTCTGGGTTACCTTGCTATTCTCTTTTGTTCTGTCAGCTCTCCAACATTTGAGAAACCAATGCATGAAATCATATTGGCTGATGCCTTGTGTAGTGGTTTCTGACTGCTTAATAACTGGTATCAAGAGTGGTAATGGGAAACAGACCCTGAAATATTGGTTTCGTGTAGTTCTTGGCTTTGAATGCAGTGCTGAGCTCCCTGCCAATGGGAAAGTGGTAAATTGGCAATTCTAGGCATGCAGTGGTACCCTAATTAACTCAATTATTACCATAGTTGCTTGAGATTGAGTTATTGAAGCAAGTGCTTGGGATCCAAGCAGAGTAAGAACTTTTATTTTTGTACTGGGAATCGAACTCAGGATCTTGTGCTTGCCAGGCAGGCGCTATGCTGCTGAGCTATCTCCCCAGTTCTGCAGAGTCAAAACTTGATAGATATGGGAGAAATGATTTCTATAAGGACTATGGAGTGCGATGCGTTTGAGTTCATGGAGAACTCACAGGAAAAACCTGACAGGCCCATGGCTTTACTTTCTCAGTAGAAATCATCAGAGTCAGAAAAAATCTTCTATTTCTTGTAGTTTGAGGGACACTTTTGTTGAAAATTAGACTCCAGATTTAATTGTGTGATTTGTAGAATTTGAACTTAAATGTGATTACAGACTTACAAGTTTTATTGTGTGACTAGGAAGGATTGGGATCTTAATACTTCACAAGTGTGTAGAATCAGATGAAACCGAGCATTCTCAATCTTTTTGTCTACAGCCAATCTACTGTGTGTGACTAGCTTTCTTTTGCTTGCAGAGTACAATGACTTGACCTGAGTCAGCTACTTTGTATATGGATGGCTGTTCCCCCAAGACCCACCCCAACATCAACAGCTGCCAAATTAGAGCAGAGCTACATCTCAGCATGCTAAGAGTAACAACTGCACAGTTTGACCTTGAAGACAACTTATACTCCAAAAGGACTGCAAAAGTTTGCTAATTTCTACAGGCATTTCCTAAAGAACATATGTAGGACTGGATTCTAGCATATGGTGTCTTTTCCCATAAAAGTTAAAAAATAAAAAGTTCTGGGAATCAAGATGTAGGAGAGATAATAGTTCCTTTTTCTTTTTTTACCTTTAATCTCATTGTTTTTAGAAGTTGGAAAATACTCTTATTTTTTTCCATTAGTACTTGTTTGCTGAATAATGTTTACATTCTTACCTGTCATACATATAATTTCCAACATCCTTCTGGATGTATTTCCCTTTTTATTTGAGTTCTTCCACCATAAAGTTTTTAAAGAGGATCTTTGTGAAGCCATCCTTAGAGACCTTTTTTGCATGAGAATATTTTTGTTATACTGCTATATGTAAGTAACAGTGTAAATGAATATAAAATTCTAGGTCCAAAATTCTTTTCCTTCATTATTTGTTTGTTTTCCTTTCACATCAGTGTTACAGTTGAGAAGTTTCCACAATCCAAACTTCTGTGAATTTTGTGTAAAGATTGTTGATTTGGGTTTTCTAAAGCTCTTTTGCCCAGGAAAGCAAATCATTTTGTGTAGGAGTGTAAGATGCAGAGAATACTCACAAAAGGTGCTCATAAAAACCCCAATTATAGACTTATTATTTTCCTAACAATTTGACTCCTAGGAATTTATTTAGAAAATTTTGCCTGAGTATGCAAAACCCAGTTGCCATTTTACATGTCCTATAAAAGATCTGGAAAGATTCCAGTTTACCCTCAGTAGGGATTAGATGCACAAATTATGATCTATCTATATGAGGAAATACCATATGATTGGCTGGGGATATAGCTCAGTGGCATAAGCACCTGCCTGGCAAGTGCAAGGTCCTGAGTTCAATTCTTGGTACCAAAAAAAAAAAAAAAAAAGAAATGCCATATGACCTCCAGAAGCCATGAGACAGGTTTCTATTGCTGTCCAGGAAGATGTCTACCATATATTGCTGAATTAAAAATTTTGGAATGCAATGAATAGTTATCTTTTTTGGTTAAAAAAACTACAGGCATATATATATAGGTTTACATATTCATGAAAAAAAGATTTAAAATATCAGAAGAGGGAATGACACTGTATCTACAAATCACTCAGGCTTTTTATAAACAATAGTTTCAAAGCTCTGACCATTTGCTTGTGAAATCTGTTTACAAACCATTAACGATATTGCAGACTTTCAGGGCTGGCATGTAGGAAGATCTGTACTTTCTTCCACTTGACTGCTTTGTAGATACTTTCACCCTAGAATAGTACAGCAACACTGTAAAAAGTAATTTAATGTCCAAGACTAGAAAAACTGCTGAAGGGAGGCAGCCCCTCAGCTGTCTCATCTGGGACATGAGCTGGTCCAAAGTAACAAGGGAAATAGCTGAATATGAAAGGGACTTCTCAGAGAGAGACTTGTGGGCTCTTTCCAGATCTTTTACAATCAGGATCTTTGGAATCAAGCAGGTCAGACCTTCTTATTTTACAGAGGGGAGCATGGAGGCCATTAGAGGAGGAGTGAGTAGCAGGCAAGAGAGTTTGGGGAAAGAACTTTTTCTTGTAGTGCTGATGACTGAACCCAAAGGAGAAGACTCTTAATAGGACTTAGTATCATCAGAAATGACCTCTTCCCAGGGTAGGTGGAGTGTGGAGGAGACAGTGCTTCTGACAAGGCATCCTGGGAAAGAGCACAGTGCACTCTGTGAACACCCACACACAGAGCCAGCTTGGGACGCACATGTCACCCCGGGTCCTGCTTGGTCCTGTCTTCTTAGGCTTCATTTCACTGTTACCAGCCCTTGCAGAATGAGTCACGTAACCTTATGCCCACAAGTCTGTGTGGCCAAAGAAGTTCCAATAAAGCCTGAGAGGAGGTACCAAATATTCTTGGTTTGGGTACAGCTCCAGGTGGTTTATTTCTTTTGGTGACTTTTTGGTGGTTGATTTCGGGTCTTACTGGACTATGACTGGAAATTAGGTCTGCAGTCTCAGACGTAAATCTTGAAGGAGCTGGAGATTTTTCTACATAGCCAACAGTTTGGCCTTGGCTATTAGTAGGGGGTTTCAGCTCCTCTCCATGAGAAAATCTGGAAAAAAGAGACTTTCAGGGAGCGAAAGGTTGAGAACCAAGGCTGAGTGAGTGTGAGGAACAGAAGCCGGGCTGACTTGCCGTCCAGGTCCACCTCCCTCAGTGAGCCAACTCCTGAGGTTCCAGGCAAAGCGCATTAGTCATTCTTCAGCCACCAGCCCAGCACCTAAGCCAGAGCTTTGCCACAGAGCCATTTATCCTATCAGTTTAAAACACTTTCCTCCCCTTTCCCTTCCTTTTGTAAGTTTTAAGCCCCTATTGTCTTGCTTCTGCTTCTCTCCTTAACTAGAGTGATCTCAGCATTAAGCCTGAAAACTATGAAACTTTGCTGCTGGTGAAAGAGTGCCACAACATAAAATGGGCCATGTCAGCTTGTGGTTTTATCAAGTCATTTCCTTGCAGTTTGGTTCTTTCTATCCTGTGTTTCCTGTACCTTAATCCTTCCTGTACTGAAGGATTTATTCTTTAGGGGGAATAGACCATAGGTAAGACGTGCTTCATGTTGAATTATGTAAAGACCCATATGTGAGCCATTCATACTTAAGAGTATCAAGATTGATGTCCATAATAGGATATTGATTTTTGTGAGGGGGTGGTACTGCGGATTGAACACACTGAGCTATTTCCTGAGTGAGTCCTTTTAAAAACTTTTTCTTTTGAAACAAGTTCTTATTAAGTCTCTAAGTTACCCTGGCTGGGCTCAAAGTTGGGATTCCTCTGCCTCATCCTGGTAGAGTATTGGGATTACAGGTGTGTAACAGTGTGCCTGGCTACACTGATCCTTTTGCTGTAAATATTAGCATGGTTTTGAAAGTGGGGGTTTGTGAATATACATTTCTCATCAACAGTGTATCTAGTGAATTAAATGTCAATTGATGTATGCTTGATATATCATTCATTAGACAATTTTTCTAAATCTCTCCTCTCCTATTTCCTTTTTAGGTGACACCTGTAAGTTGTGCAAAATAGAACTCTTCCTTATCAATGGAGGCTCTTTGGTTATGTTGGAATACAATTATAATTTAAAAGTTAGGGAAATATATAATTAACAGTTTTCAGAGTAACAAGTTGGTTCAACAAATTCCTCAAATGATAAGGTAATATCTAAATATTTTTCAGCTTTGAGGATCAACATGCAGGCAGAAATTTTCACTGATTCAGCCAACCTCTTAAAGACATTTTTTAAAAACTTTACCTTTAGAAAACTATTTCTGGTAAAATTCTGACTAAAAATAGACTTTTCTTTTCTTTCTTTTCATCTTTTTGAGACAGGGTCTCACTATGCAGTTCAGGCTGACCTTGAGCTCACTTTATAACCCAGGCTGGTCTCAAACTCACAACGATCCTCCTGCCTCAACCTCCGAGTACTGGGATTACAGGTGTGCGGCAACACACCCAGTGATTTTACTTTTAGAGAAGTTTTAGATTTACAAAAAGTTGAGACATTAGTACAAAGAGGTCTCATATATCTTGCATTGAGGTTTACTCTATTAGTAACTTATATTACTGTGGGACATTTTTTATAATTTATGAGCCAGATGGATACTTTCTCATTAACTAAAACCCACACTTTATTAAATTTTTCTTATTTTTAAAAAATTAGAAAAAACTTTTTCTGTTCCAAAATTCCTTTTAAGATACTGTACTATATTTAGTTATTATGTCTTATTTCAGTGACCATTTCTTGGACTTTCCTTGTTTTTGATGACAGTTCTGAGGAATACTGGTTAGGCATTTTATGGAATGTTGCACTATTGGAATTTGCCTTGTGTGTTCTGTAGTTACTGATTTGGAGAGGAAAATCACAAAGATAAAGTATTATTCTCAACACATCATGTTAAAAGAGAATATATTATCAGGATGAGTTGTCATTGTTGATACTGACTTTGATCTTCTGGCTGAGGTCATGTTCATGATGTTTCTCCACTGTAAAGTTACTTTTTAATCCTCTTTCTATACTGTATGTTTTGGATTAAAACTTACCACATACAAACCACACTTAAGGAGTAGGAAGTTATATTGAGTATTTATATAAACTATTTTTTTCTCATCTATACAATTTGTCCAACAATTTATTTTCACAGTGTAGACTTCTGGATATTTACTTTACACTTTTGGTTATAATTTAATGCTTCTTATTTTGCTGATCAAATTGTTCAAGTTTCAACATTGGAAGCTCTTTAGATTGGCTTCTGTGTCCCATGTAAGTAGAGTCTTTGTTTTTTACACTTCTTACCTTCTGATATTTTTACATTCTGCCTCAAACTTATCTTGTATATTTCCTATATAAGTCCTAGACTCAGAAGGAGGCCTACTTCATTTTATTGGTGAATGGGATTAGAAATAAAGATTTGGGCATTAGATGTTCCCATTACTATAGGATATCATTGTTTCTAGATCCTTTATACTGACAAAATAAAGAAATATGCATGGGTATATTAACCCATGTGTTTTGGTTTTTTTCTGGTACCAGAAATCGAACTCATGACCTTGCATTTGCCAGGCAGGCGCTGTGCCGCTGAGCTAAATCCTCAACCCTAACCCATGTGTTTATACATGTCCCCATGGGAAAGAACTTTATCAATTAGAATACAGTGTTTTGAGCAGTTCATTTTGCCTTAGTCTTAAATACTCAGCTAAAGTAGTACTAAAATTAGTTACCCAAAGTTGTTTAGGTCTGTCTTCATCATCCCATCCCCTTTAATGTGATTGCTTCACAATTTGTAAGGCAGTTACAGTTTTTTAAAGTCATTGTCTGCCTTCCATCCTGGATTTTCTCAACCACCTAAATGACTTTTAAAAATCTGCATAATTAATTTCACATACTTTGTAAAGTTCTATGAGTTTTGGCCAATGCAAAATGCCACATATCCATTATCACGATGTCGTAAAATAGCTTCACTGCCCCAAAATTCCCTGGTTTCACCTGTCTTATATGTTTTTCTTTCAGAATTTCATGGTTTTATGCTTTGTTTATGATCCATTGTAGGAAGCTGCTCCCTCCTTTTCCTCTTCTTTGCATGTGGGCCTTCAGCTTTTCCAGCACTGTTTATTGAAAAGACTATCTTTCTCCACTAAATTAGCTTTACACCTTTCCTAGAAACAGGTTAACCATATTCTGAACTGCATTCTGTTCCATGGATTTATATATTTTCTTTTTCCATAACTATGCTGACAGCTTTATGCAGTATTAGGTCCCACATTTAAGTAATATAAGCCCTCAACACTCTTCCCTCCAATATTACTTTGGTTATCTTGTCTCTTTTTATTTTCTGTATAAATTTCAGAATGGAATTTTTAAAAATATCTCTCAAAATCCTTCTGAGATTTTGTTTGAGCCTGTACTGAAAGTACATTGATATCTTGGTAACATTGTCTTCCAGTCCACAGGTACAGTATGTCCCTTCATTCATTTGGGTCTTTACTTTTTTTTTTTTTTTTTTTTGGTACTATTGTCAATTGCACCTGTGATAGTCTGGGTTGTATGTCAATCTGACTGGCTTTGGAGTCTGCCTGAGGGATTGGTGGAGCACGCTTTTAGGTGTGTTTGGGTGGATGTGTCTGGGTGGGTTGGGATCCATGTCTGATCCCTTGCCCCTTCCTCTCTGATGTCATTCCCCTACTTTGCTTCTCACCTGCCGTGAACTAAGCAGTTTTGTTCCACCACACCCTTCCACCATTGTGTTTCTGCCTCAGAGCCAGCTAACCATGGACTGAATCCTCTTAAAATGTGAGTTGTTCTCTCCTTTAAATTGTGATGTCTGGCATTGTGTCCAGCAATGAGAGAGCTGATTAATATAGTACTCTTCTTTAAAATAAAAAAATACAGTGATAAGAAAATCTGACTTTCAATTCTTTTTTGTTAGTACATAGAAGTACAATGTGATCTTTGTAGACTCACTAGGATTTCCTATGTAGGTAATCATATAACATATAGAGTAGAGACAACTTATGTCATGAGTCTGAGCTATCTGAATTCCTAAATTGAGGAAGTATTTGGCCATTATGTCTTCAAATACATTTTTTCCTGCATTAACCTCTTTCACTTCTCCTTTCTCCTTATAGAATTTCAGTGACCTGAATATCCCAGAGGTCTTGGTGGCTATGTTCATGTTTTTCATCCTTATTAGTCTACTTTTCAGATTGGATAACTTCTACTGATATATTTTTAAATTCATTGACTCCTTTGTATTTTCATTCTGTCATTGCTCTTAACAAGTGAATTTTTTAATTTTAAAAATAAAAGACTGAAAACATATTAACAAACAGACATTCACTTACAAAATAACACAAGAACAATACAAGCAATACTGAATTACAGACAAGGTGACAGGAAATTAACAATGGTTGTTGTATTACATATTGATATCTTCAGAGTGGTTACTCAGGAAAATAATATAGACACGCAAGATTGATCAAATAATTAATCATTAACTGTTCCTTTCAATAAAGTGATAGAAGTCAGTAGCATGACTATGTTAGCTACCCTTTATATACATATATGCATAATTTTCCCTTCGTTCTTTTTTCTTTTCCCTCATCCCAGTTGCTTTTTACTTTTGAGCAGTTTCCTTTCATTTCACAATGTCTATCATACCACCTAATTTTTATTCAATCTTTCAGGGTCTTACACTAGTAGGACAATGCGTTGCTTAGACATGCAGATCTGATTTATTTCAACAAGTGAATTTTTATTTCAGTCATTATCTTTTTCACTTTCAAACTTTCCATTTAAAAATAACTTTCTTCCCATTTGCTCTTGTTGCATTTGCTTTCTTCTGCCATCTTGAAGTTTTGCCCTTGTGCCTTGGGCTTCTTCTGCACATGTTTAGTTTGCAGGTAAGTCTGAAATTTTTACCAATTTGTAACCAGTATTTGTGAGTCCTCCTTTAAATTGTGGCTCCTGTCCCTAATCCATATACTACTTTTTTTTTTTCTTTTTTGGTTTTTCTCCGGTACCGGGAACCGAACTCACAACCTTGCCTTGCCAGGCAGGCGCTTTTGCCGCTGAGCTAAATCCCCAGCCCCCCATATACTACTTTTTAACTCTTCACTTTGCTCAGGTATTTGCTTCCTGTATTTTGTCCAGAGTTATATATTTTAATCAGTAGAAGAGATAGGTCACAGTGGCTTTACTTTAGATTGGTTGATACCTCAAGCATCAATATTCCTTTTAAGGCTCAAATTGTCACTTTTTGAATAGTGAATACCTTTCCAGTTGGTTCCTGTGTCTTTTTGTCTTGACTCCATTAAATTTCAGAAGTTTCTTTCATACTATCTAAAATAACAACTGTTTTATCAATGATATTAACACTATAGTGTTTTCTTGTTATATAGGAAGGAAGTTAGTGGTGTTTATTTTCCACATGAATAGAAGAAACATAAAATGATTTTTTTATTTCAACAAAACTTTGAGAGACTTTTATCACTTAAATTAAAAATTGGTTAAATAATTGATTAAATTAAGAACTAATTTGCTATACCATGCAGAGTATTTGGACTGTGAACTATGAGGAGTCAAAAGAGAGGTAAGATTATTACTCTTTTGGGATTTAAAAACATCTCTAAAGAACCATCTCCCAGAGTCTATAAAAACATCTCTAAAGAACCATCTCCCAGAGTCTATAAAGTCTATAAAGTGATAAGACTCTATTAAGAGTCTTATCACTCTTAATAAAGTTATTGGGAATTTTAAAAATGTAGTGTTGACTATGGATGCAAGGCTTTTGCTTGGTGTATCTTCATGGGTAGATAAGGAGAGTTTTATTTGAGATGCTATCAACAATGGATCCAGAGAAAGAAACCTTGTTTTTGTCCTTCAACTATAAATGTTTCTAGGTTTGAGTTTTGATTAGTGTAGCATTTTATGTGTTTCCAGGCAGGTGAGTGTTTTAATTTGTGAGGATTCGTATGGGGAGTCAAAAGATCCCATACATAAAAGACTTGACTTCAAATAGTGCCTGTCCACCGTGTTAGGGAACTGCTGCCTCCTGGAGGTTGTTTCATAATTTTTCTACTTGTTTTTTTTTGTACCCGGAATCAAACTCACCACTTGTGCTTGCCAGGCAGATGCTGTGCCCCTGAGCTAGCTATATCCCCAGCCCAATTTCTCTACTTGAAAAGATTCTTTGCAAGTGAAATTAAAGTACTGAATTGCTTAAACTCTTTAATATCTTATATCCTTTCAGCATAACATATCAAATATCACATTATACTTCACAAATACATACAATAAAAATTTTAAAATAGATAATTTAATAGGCTGAAAATGGCACCCTGAAAGAATAGTAAATGTAGTATTATACTCTTTCAAGAATAATATATATATATAATCTATGTATTTCTTAATGTATAAAGAAACTTGTCAAAATCAAAGAGATCTTAAAAGTCATTTTCATAATGTTCCTGTGGTCTATTATACGTACTTTCATTTCACTATGACATGGACGAGAAAAGGGGAAATCTAATTTTAGCTAAGTGGTCAGTGTTCCTTCTAAGTACAGTGTGAGGAACAAAGAGATGCAAATTAACTCTAGGCCTATTGTGAATACCCGTGAAAGGTAGTATGAGCTCCTCTTTAAAGCTTTTTAACATTATCTGTTGAAAGAGTTCATAGTTTTGTTCAGTCCCCATTCATATTCTCAAGCAGGGGATACATTTTCATTTTTATTTTTTGATGAAGTTTGGATTAAAAGGAGTCTATACTTACTCTCTCTGGATTTCCTTCAATAAAATTATATTTATCATTTTATAAAATGGTTAAAATAAATAATTAAAATTCTTAATCTGTATAGATTGGATAGGTTCTTATTAATTATAATATTTAAGAGTATATAAATATAAAGATAGATATTCAATTAAATTGAGCCATAATTTGGTTCTTGAAAAGTTTAGAAAATATTCCAATTATGTGGATTGCTAGTTTCGCTACTCATACCAGTTATAGAGATAGCTGTAAGATGTCCTTATTTTTCTGTCAAGAGCCACTGTAAACCGTGATTTTGTTGTCTTTTATTGTTAATTTAAGGATATTTTCTAAAATCCATCACTGATTTAGGATCCTTAGACTAATTCAATACTATGGCAATTGAGTAGAAAGTTTTCTTCATCTTGATAGTTTTAAACAAGCTGAAGTTTGGAAAGATAAAAAAATAATGTTTCTAATTGAAATTTTGTGTATTTTTACAGATATAAGTTAATTTGATTTTCAAATTACATAAGTTATGCTTGTTATAAAATCAAAGGATTTTCTTATACATTGTCCTAAAATGCTTGATAATATATTTTATGTTTTAAACATTATAACTTTTATGATTCAATAATACTTCATTAATCATTGGTTAAGTATATATTATACATATATACATGTGAAGATACATTAAAAGTAATAAGAATGAAATTTAAATTAGGTGGAGGAAATGGGGCTGGTAGGAAAGGAAAGCTAACACTAGTAGAATTAAGATATGCCACGCATAGGAATCTCATGACCTCAATGAATGCAGACATTATATGTCATAAATATGAGCTAAGAATGAGAATAATAGCAGTGAAAGTGGGGAAAGGGGATTTGGAGTGAAAGGAAGAAAGTAAATGGGAAGGGAATTAAAAAAAAGAAAGAAACACACTTTATTATGCACCTGCACTTCCCAGATGAGTGCAAACTTCATATACTGCAAACATGTACTAATAAGAGAAAAAAAAACCCAGGAAATTAAAAAAAAGGGAAAAGAATATTAACCCTACACTATGCCATCTGTTCTTGTCAGGAGCCAGCACATATTTCTTTGCATTGCTTACATCGTACAGGTGGCAGACCTCCTCTCCTTCATCAAGTGTGTTTCCTCGTATCTAAGACAGCATTGACTCTTACCATGCATTTAAGGAATT